AACGGCGGTTTCGACCTGGCCTCACAGATTATACTAAAGATGAGCCATAGAAAGAAAGACCGCCGAGATCAGAGGAGTAATGCTTCAATTTTTGGATTTATAAGCTCAAATTTCCATGACTTGGAAGCATGCGCCTTCGGACCGTAATTTGAAGTTCCGGTGGCCGTTGGCGAGAATGACAGCCGGTTTGCCCCAAGTTATACCCCCGGTGGTGGTTGAAGTGCAGATCTAGGCAGCTGAAGCATTTTGTTTTTTGCGCAGTGCTCAAGATTCTTCAGGTTGCGCTGATTCTTCAAAGATGGGTCTTCCTCCTCTGCAAAACCAGGGATGCTCTTCTTTAGCTGATCAGCTTGTCAGGCATTCATGCCGCCACATTGGAAGCTCTCCTTCAGCAGAATAGGCCTGATGAGCAAGTGAGGGGGCGTTCCTTGTCTCGAAGCAGCAGTCCGCTGAAAAGCTGGTCAGCATTCTGCTTCTTTTTGTTTATGGTGTTGCATCTTTTTTTCTTGGGCTGACAGGCCAACAGGCGACGCAGCATGTAATAGCATTTGTAGCAAAAAAACCTTCTCTCAAGCTTCACAAGCTCTGAAAATGGATCCACGGACTACGCCCCATTCCAAAGCAGTCATTCCAAGCCGCATATGCAGCCAAGCAAGCGTTCTGCAAAAGTTTGGCCAGGGGAACTGGCATTGGCAGACGTGCTGCGCTTGGAGATTGAATCTTTTACTGCTAAGGACGATGCGAAAGCACATGCATAGCGCTCTTAAAAAGCGATTGAAGCGTGTAGGAGACAGTGAAGGCGCAGAAAACCGTAAAGCCTTTGAAATGGGGAGAGGCCTGCAAAAGATCGTGAAGAAGACATGGCAGATGGCTTTCATGCTATTGTGAAGGATGCCGTGCTTTGTTTAAATGATGCTGGCATGTCAGATTACGAGAAGCGCATCGCTGAGCAACTGAAGAATCTTCATGCAGTGCACGGAACATGCAGGATCAGATGAACCAGAAGCATGAGCAAACCGGTGAGCAGCAGCTTTTGACTGGTATATGCTAAGCTCTGATGAGTGAAAATCTTCTCCTGGCATTAGCGTTGTACTGAGATTGTATCTCTCAGAAGATCGACATGCTCAAAGAATGGCTTTTGCAGCGAAAAGAATCAGCATGATCTCAGAGATGCTGAGTGGCAATGTTGCATGTGGATCAAATGTGGGACAGTCAAACTATAGTGTTGAAGCACTATAAGAAGGCGGTGAGCATGACTGACAGCATATTGGAATCATCCTTGCTTAACTCGTCAGTTGTTTAATTGCAAAAGCAGAAAGACAAGCTTGGTCTTGTGTTCATCTCACTAGTAGGATTCAACTATGTACGCTGTATGCTCAAGCGGAGTGTTGAAGATATATTGCAAACCTGGCTTTCAGCTGCTGCACCTGATGCAATGCCAAGAGCTGCCCCTGCTGGCAGACCTGCTGCAAATGCTGGGAAGCGCCAGTCCCAATCAGTTCCTAGAGCTGATCGTGCTAATCCAGGTGAGCAATGCTCATTTCAACCAGCGACGCTCCAACATCGCCACCGGGTTTCGGGAGAAGCTCTACGAGCTGGTCGGGCATTCACGCCTCTCGAGCACGGCTCACCGGGCCGACGTCCCGGCTAGAGTGGCAGCACTTGCCGAGCTTGCGGCGAGTAAGTCGTGACAGGCATCTCTAAGGATTGCCCCCGTTTCATCAAACCTCTATTTTCAGAAGCTGACACTGTGAGTTTGCAAAAGTGCTTGAAAGCTTTTCCCGAGTAACAGTACTGTTCGGTTGGTCTAACTCTTTTGCTTTGTGGTCAGTAACCTGGATACATCAAACAACTCCGCCTGCCAAGGTCACCTTGTAATCAGACCAAATCTTCGTTCTTAAGTTTGGAGTGCCTTTCAACTTACCTATCCTCTAGTCCAGCCTGTGCACATGCCAAATATTCGATTGTCGTTGGCATCATCAATCTGTTGAATGCTCTTGGCTTCCGCAGGCAAAACGTGGCTGCGTGGCGGATGAAACTCCGACTCCGTGACCAACGACTACAAAGCGACGTCATCTACAAGGCCGCTGCTGTTGCATTAGGCGACAAAAACGCTTCACTCGCTGAGCCGCTCGGTGTCCGGACCGACATGTCGGCGTTCATCACCCATGTGGTGAGTTTCCAAGCTTCGTTGGAAGATTAGGCTGAAAAGTCAGAAGCAGTAGGGAACATGGCAGACTGTGGATGATCTTGGCCCTGATTTCATACGCTTGATAGATGCCTCTTCCGAGAATGGGAAGGATCCCGCCTGTCCGTTTGACAAATGCAAGCTGCTCAATGGTTGACCCGTCCTTTGACCGGATTGACAGTCTGCTTCCACACCAGATTTGTAACTGCTGATGTGCATTGTTGGTCGACCTCGGTGCCACGGCCGTCCTTTTTTCCTACATAGAAATCCGGCGTGTCTCCTTCAAATCGGAACCGGATTCAGAGAAGCTTTTTCAAGAACATGAGTTGCGGCAGAGATCCAGACTGTTGCTCAGCTTCCGTGCGTCTTTGGCCTTGTGATAGGCCGGGAATCTTTTGCAAATTTCCGCGTAGTCTGGGCCACTCCAGGCCCTGTCTGCCAGCAACGTTCGACATCAATTTTCTAACGTACCCCATGTGCTTCAGTGTTCTCCTTGAAGATTAAACTGGGAGTCCTCTTGAAGCTTTCTCAGAGGTTCTTTTTCGCTCTCCGTCCAGGAATGTTGCTTTACCGAAACATATGTTGACGTGCTCTCCTTTCTTTCCATCCAGGTTTTGAGTTCTGAGAAAAATCTCTGCCTAGCCCGCAAACTTCGCCCTACCTTTATGCAGGTTGCCGATTCTTAGTAGAAAATGGGAGTACAATTGTGTGCTTGCGCAACAGCAAATCGGCCTTTACTGGCTCCGGTCTTCTCGTTCTTGCAATGACTCTACGAGATTACCCTTCCCTGCCGACTTGATTGCTAACATCTTATCGAATCCTTTCAGGGCGACCAGGGCCTCTTGGACAAGACGCTCAGCAGTACGCACGTCCATCAGGACCGCAACAAGATCGAAGACCTGGCCCGGCACATCTGGCAGCTGCATCTGGACGGCCACCTGCCGAACGACAAGTTCGAGGTCGTGCCCCACCGGAAACCCCCCCCGGCAGCCGACGAGAATCTGATTCACACCTTCCGCCTCCAAGGGCCGGACGAGGACGTGTACCGTAAGATAGCGAAGGACTACGGGTCCTTCTTGAGACACCTAAAGGTGCGTGACCTCATGGAAGAGACCTTTCATGCTACACTTGTGGTTTTGGTTCGAGAAACTAATGGGTTTGGAAACGAAGCGCTGCCAAAGTTGGTGAGGATGTTGGACCGGGGGAAGGGGGTCGGGAAACGAGTGCTGGACTCACGACGTCGAGGTGAGGGATTCGAATTGTTTGAGACGTGCTCTGATTCAAATTCGGGTTTGCTCTGAGATGCTTCGTCTTCTGCAAACCACGCACTAAGGAATCTGCGGACTAGCTGGACATTTGAACGTGGGCGACGGGGAGCGGTTGCTGGACGACGTCGACGCAAGGGGTTTGATGTTGGGTTCTACAGGTTCGGGGTTCGGGTTCGGATTAACCAGATCTTTGCTTTTGCGTTTGTCGAGTGCGGTGGACTGGGCTACAAGCGACGTGGAGCGGTTGCTGGACGACTCCGAGGTGAGGGGTTCGACAGTGGGTTCAACGACGACGGACTTGGGTTCAGACTTCAGGCCTGATTTGAGTTGCCTAGTCTTTCAAAATACGGGTTGTGGAAGCTTGAGAGTATGCTGGAGTGGGGGGCGAGAGACGTGGAGCGATTGCTCGAGGTAAGGATTATCAGTTCAGGTTCGAAGACGGGCTCGCAATCGGGATTAGATTTGGGTTAAGGTGCTTTTAATGACGAGTTCGGGTCGCAGAAGCTGGAGAGTACGCTGGACTGAAAGGCGGGCGACGGTGGAGCAATTGCTCTACGACGGAGGAGAGGGCTCTCGGAGGGTTCGGGTCCGGTTCGATGTTCGTTTCACGATTGACGCGGGTGGATGCTGAAGATTCAATCTGTTGGACTGGGGGAACGGGGACGTGAAGTGCTGGACGAAGCCCAGGTGAGGGGTATGAGTCTGGATGAACTACGGGTTAGGGTTTCCGCTTCGCTCTGAGACCAGGTACGTCCAGTAATATTGGCATTCTCAAAAGTTCTGGATTGGGAAGGGCGACTTGAAGCGACGCCGATCTTTCCAGTCAGCTTTCTGCATCGCGGTGCATGATCATGGTTTTCGAAACGCTAACCCTGCTGTTGCTTCTCGCTCGCTAGTGCAGTTCGTGGTCTGAGCCGGGGAGACGCCCGACATCCGAGCGAAGGAGTGGAACGACATCTTGACAAGGTCGTCCGGTGTTTACTGCTGCACGAGGCCTGATTTGCGATGAGGTCAATGGTGAGAGTTGGAACCGAGAGTAGGCTAACCGATCAAGCACAAGGTTTTGTCAACAGCTCGTTGACAGACACCGAACCACCGCTTCTAAGCTAATAGGACATGTGCTACTAGTACCGTACTGTGCTGCGCAAAGGTGAACCGACTGACTGCCGTTGATTCCTTTCTTGTGACATTGACCAGAAAACGGTGTTCAGGTTGAACATAGGAGCCAAGGAAATCAATACTCGAGTGGATTGGCAACGAGCATCGAATTAGCCACTGAATGGATGCCACGCGCATACCGGCGAGCCTGCAAATAAGCGCCGTTAGTACTGTATGCATCAGCTTTGAACCGAGTGGCTTCCGTATGGAATCCGCATGGACACAGCATGGTATTTGCATGGAATCCGCACAGCATGGTTTCCATGCGGCATCCATGTGCGTGGATCCCGTTTGGGTTCCATTTGGGAGTCTGCCCGTGCACCATATGGGGCCAATGGACGTGGCATCCATTCAAGTCCCAAGGGATACCCTTGGTGGCTAAGACATGCGAATCATGGATCTCGCTTGGTTCCCATACGGATTCATGGGGGGGCTGGTTTGTGATGAAACGGCCACGAAAGTTGCCTTGAATCGGCTGCGGAACATTGTCCAGGGTGATTGTGCTCAGCTCCGACTTTCATGATTGTTTGGCATCGTTTGTCCTCAAATCGAGCGTCTTGAATCAGCTGAGAAGACGAAGTAAACAAGCCGTGAGACGGCGAGTCCGAAACGGTCATTCTGTGCCACCCGGCCTGAGTCCCGGCAAGTCCTAGTCCGGGAAAGCGCAATCCGTAGTGTTCTCAGCATTCGTTACGGGGACTGCCAAGGCCTCAGATTCCCCCGCCCGTTCCTGTTGTCATCTTACAGCATGTCCAAAGAACGATTTCCGGGGACCGCTTCCCTGGCTATATATCTCCACGGCCCCCGGGGAGGTACATTGACATGTACATGACTGTACATCTAATAGGCAATGCATGCACCGTCCAGATTAGCCGTCCGTTATACATCAATGTAAATGAAAGGCATGCGGCAAACTAGATTGTCTAGCTAGTTACTCTCTGGAAGGACCCGCTTGGATTAGACAAAGAGAAGTATGGAATGACGAACTTTCAAGTCCTTCGGAACCATGTGATTGAGCTGCAGGTTAGTACTAGATTCGGAATGAGCGCTCAGCAAATGCTATCGCACTAGAGTGACTCAGTAGCCAACATTGCAGTAGCCAACTTTGCACAGATATAAACAAAAGCATGTGCCCCTAGCCTGCAGATTCTTATATACATTCGCGAGACGTACAGGATCATCTGCGCAGACTTCGTGCCGTCGGTATTGTGGTAGATCGGACAATTATCCGTCTTCTGCTACAACCGTAACCAAATCAAATCCTTCGAGTCAACTTTGAAATTCCAACTCAGTTACGTCGTTCAGGTGCTTTCCATGACAATTTACCAAGTTCATCTGTCATGGTCACGCCGCCTGCGAGAGGGACTGGAGGTCCATGCGCAAATGCTTGACGGATAAGCGGTTCACCTCAGCCATGCGAGCAGGTATTAAGATGTATATGCATGGTGGGTCGCGTGCCGTAGCAAATGAGACACAGCAACCATGCTGTTTGGCCTTGTGCGCTGCCCTTCATGCAAGCCCTATTTCATTGCAAGCCCTCAAACACGTACACCTTTAGGGTGATTAGGAGCAAGAACATTGTGGTCGAGGATAAAGTAAGGCGCGCGGCTTTGGCGCCGTGGAATATCTGCACATCAGGCCAGCGCATCTTCTGATGCGCAAGAATTCGCAACAGCTAGCCACACAACAGGCGAGTCTGGTAACTCTGGTGTACCCTAAGCGCGGTGTGAACGCGCACGTTTTGTATAGTGGCGCTCGGGAAAGTTGCAGGGCAGCACTAAAACTGTCTGATAGATAGTATCCGACAGCGCGCGCTTCCTACTGTAGTACTACGACCCGGGACGATGATTGGTCAAGACTCACCTTTGTAACGTACTTACATCTGGCTCGTCGAGAAGCTTCTGCTCCGATTGTTAGGTGATGGCAATTCGATTTCGGCGGTTGCCCGCCAAAACCGACCACTTCAGTCTTCAGCAAAGCCACGGCGATTGTGAGTGTTTCACTTTCTTTCGAGAAGAGGAGTTTGCGGCGGTCAAGGCTGAGCTTACAGGTATGGACGTCTGCGAGCACCTTTCTGCGAAGCATTCTTGCGGCAGCTTTCTGAACGAAGCCTGATCGATGCAAGGGAAAAGTTTGGATCATGCATTGATCAGGTATCAGGATTGTTGACAGCAGGGACTTCGATTTGTCTGAGGGTGAAGTTCTGAACGATATCCTCGTTGTGCAGAACGCATCACAGCGGAGGACAAGCCGCAGATCTGGTCAGTCCTTCCCCTATGGAGAGTTTTCCAGCAGCTTTTAGCGTTCAATTGAGGCTGCAGGCTTCAAAATGGCAGGACTACTAGAAGATCAAGCAGATTTCACCTCAAAAGCTTGAGCTTAGTGTTCCTGTTAGATCCAGCTTTTCCCTTGGCAGATTGGTAGTCACGATTCCTCTCAGTCCGAGTTGCTTTTTGAATGCCAGATCTCAATTCAGTCTTAATATAGCGAATTCTGCATGAATTAAACGGGTGCATGGTGCATGGTGCATGGTACTTCTGGAGAGAGGACAAGTTAGCATAAAGGATCCACCTTCCAACCTTGATTATGGACTTGCAAGTAGCACTGATTTGTTGCTTCATTAAGGCTGATTTCATGCTTTTTTCTGTCTTTGTATGAATATGTATTTCGCGGTGACAGAGGCCAGAGAGGTTATTGTTTTCAATGTATCAGCAGCGCTCTGCTCAGATGACTGCTCGGCAGTCCTGTTAACTATTCTGAATTCACGCTCAATCGAGTCTCTGATGTAAAACCTTGCAGATTCTGGTAGGTAGAGGAAAGTCCTTGACGATTTTACTGCGCATTTGTTTTTAAGTTTTGTGATTTGTTTTTTTGGTCTAGACTGTTAACCATCGAGTCTGCAAGGCAGAATTCTTGTCGGGGTACGCTGCTGAGAAAAGTTAGGAGCTTACTGGACTGTAGCCTTTGTGCAACCCTTCGGTCTTGCGCGTCTAAGCAAACCTGTCCTCGTCCTTTTCTCCTTCTTCGTCACTTCCTGTGTTTACTTTATGCAAAGCCGCACCGCACCTCTTCCCAAATGTGGCTCCTTCATCCTGATTCTGAGCCGCCGCTTGCTGTCCTGGAGTCAAACGCTCAAAATGCTGAAAGTGGAAGCGTTTTTGTCCTACCATCTTATCGAGTCTTGAGTCTTAGACATATACTCTGCTTTACAGCGAATAAACGTTGTCGGATAAATCGCATACGCACTCTTGCTATCACAAGTAGATCGCAATGGCTTCTCAGGTCGCCCACATCCAATACGCACCGCCAAGTCCGTTTACTCAGGAGGCCGATGCTGGCTTCCGGAAAGTCCCCCTGGCCGCACCCCCCTTCCCGCTCCGACCCCGCCACCGCCTGCCCCGGGTGAGTGGACTGCTTTAGACCGCTTTTTGAGTTTCGCGCATGACGTCATGCATTGAATGCCCAAAGATTTCGAAGTCAATGCAAAGCATGCAGATCCTGTTCAATGATGTTGCCCATCCCGCAACGGCTTCTCTTATCTGCTCATTTGTGAGTAAAAGGAATCTAAGCGCGCTTTCGCGGTGCAGGGCCCTTTGATCGGCTTTGTCTGCCAGTCACAAAGTCTTTTAAACGGCCCGAATCTCAACTTCGAAACTTCGGCTGCTCGATGCATGGTGCTTTAGGTTCTATGTTTCTGGTTCATCCAACATTACGTGCCGATGCCAGCTCGCGCAATCCGCGGACTTTCCGCAACAGGCGCCCTAGCCTACTCTAGCATCCTATAGAGGAGCCTAACCTGAAACCTTTTCTGTATCACTAACCAACTCTTTTGCCAACTCTTCAATACAGGTTCGAGGCCCAAGGGCCAAATTGACTGCCGAAGAAGAGGAGGAGAGAAAGAGCTTGCGAAAGCAGCTCCCGAGTCTCCGGCGTGCCGGAGCAGCAGGCGCGCTCTTAGGCGTGGGGGCAGGGGTTACAGCGACGGTCTTCGGGAAACAAGCAGTAAATATGACCATCATGTATCTAATGTTCGTTCTTGCCTCCAGCTCCACGGATATTCTGATGATGGTCGGGAAAGAGAAACGGTTGCTAGAGCTCGAAAACAAGAAGCGCAAGTGATGCGCTTGAAAAATTGACACCTGAGTCGACCGCCTCTCTTGGACTTTGACTTTGACAGTGCTCCAATGAATTGGTACCAATGTTTTGGAAAGCACCATGTTGCGCTGTGAACAAAGTTCATGATCATGTGAATCTGACATCAATAAACATGCTTAGGACCGTTTTGACTAGCACCGCGAGTTGCGCGCGCTGTCGACTGTCCTTGTCGACCATGATCCATTACATAATCCATCGACCAACCGTACCATGACAATATCTGCATCTTCTAAAATGGCCCTACCGAATCGTAGGCGCAGCGGGCGCTTCAGTACCACCGCAGGCCAACCCGATTTATCACGCACTTTTGCAGTGTCGCATGCGAGAATAGATCGATGTGCAATCGACTATATCTTAGTCAATTAAGTCTGCCGTCACATGCACAGCTTAGCGGCCGCCGACAATAAGTGCTGAATTTACACATACTTCCGAGGACCGTCGTGTCGACTTGACCCGGTAATATGTGAAGCCTTCCCTTGCATATGTATGCATCTGTGTTTGACTCAAGCATACGCCATTCGACGTTATCCGATCCAACGTATGTAGATATGGCTAGTGCAGGCTGACTTAGTGTCTGGTTGAACACGTATGTCCTGCTCTGCAGTGAGGAGCTCTGCAGTGAGGAGCGCGCCCGAGCACACAAAAATCTGTTCCGTATCTAAAGTTTCGTACTTTCCCCTGAACTGCAATGTCAAAGGGCTATGAATTCTAGGAGTGCGGAAGCACCCAGCACCCTCGGAGAACCGTCCTCAATTTTAATCGAACCTTCTCTTAGACCGCCTGTCTATCTCAAGTCTCAGAGATTCAAGCGCACGTCGAACCGCCCATCTCTACACGCTGAAGTCCATGCGCTTCGTTACTAATCCTCTACTCTTCAAGGTGCAAACACCCCACTTTACATCCTCCATTCTTACCGCTTGTACTTCCAGATCGACACACAACCCTCAAAACCGATCTCAAACTTTACTGCCGAGGTCCTTCCACACATATTTACTCTTCGCAAGGCCCCCCGCACTTCCTCAGGTCATTCTGGGCTCCTCCAAAACCAGTCTCGAACTTACTGCCAAGTTCCTCCACACACATTTACTCTCCGCAATTCCTCCCCACTTCCTCAGGTCATTTTGAGCTCCTCGGTGGACCTCTTCTGCGTCCCCGGCTCCGGGATGTTGAACGTATCGTGGCCCGCCATCTGGACGATCTTCTTGGTGGGCGCCGGCTGCTCGCCACGTGGCAGGATAAGCAGGCGGAAGCCGAAGTCCATCACCTCGGGGGCGAAGATCCGGTAGTACAGGAACACCGTGTACCTGGGGAGAGGATATATAAGGGCTGTCAGCTTATGATACGCTCCGGCTGCTTATGGGCGTTTCCAGTGAGTAGTTTGAGCCCAGCTCGATCACCTCGGGGGCGAAGATCCGGTGGTAGAGGAACACCGTGTACCTGGGGGGGAGGATATACAAGGTTATGTTACGCCCTGGTTGCTTGTGGACGTTTCCATCCAGCAACTCAGTGCAGCTTCATACCTTTGGAAGCTCGAATAGGGGTGAAGACGGACACCGTGTACCTCAGTGAGGGGAACCCACAGACAGGCTGTCCGCTCATGACAGGTTGCGACGGCCTATGAGCGATTTGCAAACTGAGTTACACCGGTTCGTCGAAGTGACTGGCTGAAAAGAAGCAGTCAGGGAAACGTTCTGTACGTGCTATCAACTTGTTCTATGTTGCGGCGGCGTATAGGGCCGATCAGAAAGTGCGCAAAAGCCAGCTCCATCAGCGCGGAGGCGAAGGCATTCGGTGTATTTGGCGAGAAGATGATCAGAAGTGACTGCTGGCTTATGGATCCGCCCGTATGACAGGCACGCAGTCCGCGAGGGCAAACGAAAGGACTCTTCTGAAACCTTACAAGCACTTTAATCTTACGCTCCGGCGACTTGTCAGCAGGTCCGAACGGCTTTGGCTGATGCGTCTTAAATGTAAGAGTGGGGCGTCTTCGAGCCCAGAAACATTCTTGAAAAGTCCAACAATTCAACAAAATAGAGACACAGTTACTGCCGGCTGATGCCTACAAATTGACGACTTGTGTTGACGACTTGTGGAGGCCAAGACAAACCGCCGCGAAAAGCTCACCAGAAGGGCACCACGACGCCGCGCTCGCGCTTGAGGGCGGTACGGACCGCGATCTCGGCCAGGTCCTTGGTGGGCAGAACCGGCCAGGGGCCCACGTGCTCCTGCGGTTGGAGGATACGAGTTTGTTAAAATGTCATCACAACGCACGAATTTGCTTCATTTTAATGGAGTGCACAGAGAGGGTTCACTGCTTGAAAATAAGGTCTTTACTTTTGTTTTCAACGAATCTCTTACATTGCGGTGGAAAGGGCACAGGAATGATTCGTATGAGTACAGGTTCAGTCGTTCACACAGAACGTGGCACTCATTTCTATCATTCGACTGGCTCTGAATGCCAGCGCGAAGCTCGTTCTGGTATAGTAGCACATCCTACAGACGTCCTGGCTAACAAAGCGACACAAGACTAGCAGAGACTTTTGGGGCCGAATTAGATCTGCCTGAGCACCTTCCGTTGATCTACGCTAAACCGTCCGCTTGACACCGGTTGTTCTCGTTGTGGCCGCTTAGCATGCAATTCCGGCTTAAACCCGCTGGGTGGAACAGACTAGTTACAGAACCAAGAATCGTACCAAGCAGAATACACTATCTGAAGCTTTTTGGCGGAGCGTGTCAATATAGCTTGCATTCAGCACATCCAGAGAACGTCAGCACAAGAACTCGTTTCCAACATATGCGGCTACATGCAGAATCCCGCCAGGCTCAAGATCTCATAGAGGGCCCCTGACGGCAAGGACGAATCGAAACGATGAAGGCAAAACTTTCAAAGATGACGAGGTGCTTGTTGGCTGTCACTTTTAACCTAAAGCGGGCGTGGAAAGGGGAACCAGCGGGAGAACGTGCAACGAACGAGATTCTCGTAAAAAGGCCGAATACACGGTGGCTAAGAAAGCTAAAAACCGGTGACGTTCGTTTTGCGAGCTCCCGCCAACGACTTTGGTATCGTCACAGCCACATCTTAATGATTACTCGTGCGTCCCTTGCTGACCGCAAAGGGAATCGGCGAGGCGGCTTTGGAAGTGGAGAAAGAGGTGCCCAGCAAAGAATATTGTTCAAGGCCATCAGATGTACCCCATAAGGTTCACTGTCTTCCGGTATTGATACCGAAGAGCACAAAGCCATGTTGTAGAGCAACACTTCAAACATCATCAGGACATCCTGACTGCAAGCAATTTTGGATTTTACGAAGAGATTGAAATCCCGGCAAGGCTTGCGAGGAGCTAATCAGAACGAAGTCAATGCTACTGGCTGGCTTGCTATAGAACAATAATCGTTCAGTGTTTGGGTCCCTGGCTTCAGTTGTCACACAAGCCACGTCTTGTGGACTTTAATAAAATCCACAATCTGTGGCGGCAATGTCATAGCCCCCGTTGCGCGTTCCGGCCAGTCATGTAACTCAGTCTTTGGAAACATGGCTTTCAATGTCCAGCATCAATTAGGAAACCAACAGCAAATAATGAGAGCCATGTTTCCGTCTGTCAGCAAGGCAAGGTTACCGCACGCCAGACGGCGTTCCCACAGAATCAAACAACAAATCAATCACCGGGAACAGAGAGAGGTGCTACGAACTTTCCCGAGACCTTGCTTCCCGTCTGACAGCTCTTTCCACAATTGGAGCTTGATCCACAAGCAGAGAGTAGACGTGGATGTGAAAGGAAACTGAAAAACAAGAAGCGAGAAGGAGAGGCTAATTAGATTGTACTTTAGCATCGCAGATGCTCTGTTCTAGACAAATTGGTTTGTCTGTCGAAAGCGTATCCTTAGGGGAGGAAAATCCAAAAGACTAGGCTCGAACAAAGGAGAACTTGCGAATGCAACCCAAGGAGATCAGCGCCATCGGAGCAGTATACACGTCGCTTAGGTTCTGGTACCAGGCAATTTGGTCGTGCTCATCAGGACCTTCTTAATGAAACGAAGAGATACAATGCAAAGGCGGTCCAGGACCAAAAAAACCCGCGAAATTAAAATCGTGCGCCAGACGAAATGACAATCACGTCGCCGAGGCCCTCAGGCTGGTCCCAGGCAGACTGATCCTGCCCGTCCAGAACTTATCGCAAAGAGACCAACCGAGCGCGAAATTACAAACGCAAATGGACAAAGCCAGGTCTCATCTTTTGATGACGTGAAGGCTTACGTCACGGAGGCATGGTCACATGCGCACTGTTCGTGCTCGTCCAGGCGCTTTCTTCTAAAACAAAGAGGCGCCGAAATGAAACCATGCGAGCGCAAACTTGCAAACTCCAGAAAAGTAGATTCAGAGTAAATTGCGTTGATGACGTCGAGGCTTACGTCACGGAGGCCCTGGTCCCACGCGTACTGGTCGTGCTCGTCCAGGAACTTGCCCTCCGTCATCTCGGACACCACCCAGCCCGGCAGGACGTTGGTCACCGTAACGCTGCTGCCCACCTCCGCGCGCAGCGTGTCGAAGAAGCCCAGCGCCGCGTGTTTCGCCGCCTGGAAAAATGGGTTGAGAAATGGGTTTGAGAGTGGTTAGAAGATTTACCCAGCTGGATTCGACGATGGTTCCGCTTCTAACCCGGCTTGATTCGACGATGGGTCAAGTCCTTGGATACGCTGCTGCCCACCTCCGCGCGGACCGTGTCGAAGAACCCCAGCGCCACGTGTTTCGCCGCCTGGAAAAACGGGTTAATCAAT